GGATGCTTATCTTTGAAGACCTCCCATTTCCCCCCTGTATTAAATGCCAGAGGCTTATGTTGTGTCCTGCTTCTGGCTATTGTGGAAGTGGCTGTGGTGCTGGTTGTGGGAAAAACCAGTAACTGTATTTCCTGATTGGTTTTGGTCATGGGGAGAGTCTTCTTTATCTGAGGGGTAGGTCTGACTCCTCATGTAAGAGGGAATCCAGCAAAGCTGATTTCTTGTGTCTTCTTCTGGGACAGAGGAGGAAGATTCTTCTTCAAAAGATGAAGCAAAGAAAAGCAACAATGCTTCATTAACTGAGAGATTCTTCTTCTGTTTTAGATACTCAGTCTGAGTTTTGGAAGACATCTAGAAAAATGTTAGTATGTTATTAATATATGGTTGACATAATGAAAATATGGTATATGGATATATTTGAACTATTGAGCTTAGACTTAAAAGCTCTAAGAATACATTTAACAAATTCACAATTACAGTTTTGATCATAAGATAAAAATCTGTGAAGAACACATGATCTGAATAAAAGCATATATATATATCTTATGTGAGATTTCACTGTTCACACTGTAAAGAAAATTACTTTATTAGCTTTTGCTATCCTGGATACTTAATATACACAAGAAATTAATATTTTGTGTAAGTGGCATGTTGAACTAGTACAATATAAACTGTTTCTTCAGTTTATACATAGAATTGTAAATGCTTCTGACATTATACAATTGAAAGATGTCACAAAATAAAAAAATACACTAAAAACTAATTTCAGTAAAGGAACCTTGTTTAAATATTTATCATAGGAAATATAAAACCTGTGAATATATGAATATTATGCCTAAAAGCACATCTTACTGTATATGAGATTTCAAGTTCTCAGGTACATATACAACAGGCTCTTCTTCCACTAAAAAAAGAAACAATAGCTCTAGTAGCAGGCTGTTACAAAGATTGTATGAATGGCTTTCTCATAGTAACTAAGCGCTTAGTAGCATTGAAACTTAGTCTGTACATCAAATTATATAAATACCATATGTGAAAAAATTAAACAGGTTGATGTCATAAAAAGTGGATGAAGCAAGGAGGGCAATTGGCAGAACATTTACACAGCAGGGTGTGAAAATGCCTGATCTCTAAATTCTAATATATATGATCTTTGGACAGTATAATGAGTAGAATGTGACTTTTGACTGCTGTAAAGTCACTTTCTTTATAATTTATGGTGCCTGTTTCTTGTGGATTAACACTTGTTATAGTATATACTGATTTAGCAATGGACCAGGTAAGTGTTAACAAACTTCCTGTACTTTGTATAGTGTAGCCACATAAAAAAACATTTGTTAAAATAAACTTGTTTGAAAAATGAAATAAATTGTATTGTATTCAAGTACTGTACACACAATAGCATATGTATACTTTCTTACTATCATTTCTACAGTAATATACAAAAAGCATCTGTGCTAGAGTCAGTGAGTGGTTGTGAGATATTATTACTTACTTGAGCAATTGAACACAGTTCACGCTGTTGGTATCATGGATTTATTGGTACAATAGACCAAATTATGGGTACAATAAAAAAAACTTAAACATAAGGAGAGTATGTGATTTAAAAAAATTAGAAATAGACAAAATTTATGTTTTGTGGAATGATGAAATGTTTTTATACATACTTTTAGAATAATTAACTAAAACAAAGTAAAAACTTAAATCTGGAACAAATATATGTATTTAATTATTTATTATGAAAGCTGTTTCCTAATGTAAATTCCCAAGATTTTAAAACTAATAATGCATAAAAACTAAATAAATCAAAAGTAATGTACCATACATTATTTTTCTGAAACTACATATGTTTAGGAAAGTTCTTGTTAAATTTCAAACAATTTCTTTAACTAGTTTTATTTTAAGAATGAAATATGATGAGAACAACAATACCTACTAAAAAAATTAGTAGCCAGTAGCCATAGGGTTAGTGTAAATTTATTTTTATTCCTGCAATGTTAATATTAGTAATTTATTATTTTTCTAGAATTATATTCCTACAATCTAGTAATAACTATAAATCTTGATGTAATCCCATACTCTTTGTTGACATAATATCCTATCACTCTCCTGGCAAAGTTAAGGAAAATAGTTCTTCACTTTCTTGTGATTTTTAAAACTGAAGCACTGTTAAGTGAGATTGTACTCTTCCTTCTTTCTTGTTAAAATGTACCATAAACTAGGTTTTGGTTTCATTTACAGTGTGCATCACAACAGATGTATTTTTGATAAATAGTATGCTCTCTGTAAAGATTGCCTGAGAATGTTTTATTATGGGAGTTATTGAACAGAATGTTGCCGTATCTGGGAAACAAGAAATTATTATTCTTTTAATTAGATTTAAAAATAGAAGAGACTAAGTATCAACTTAAGATTTTTCTTAATATAAGATTATTGTCAAAAATAGGTAGAATAGAAAATTAATGCAACATTAGATTGACAATAAAAGCAGTTATAGTAAATTAATGTTTTACAAGCATGATATTAAAGTTACTATTGAAGAATTAATTAATGACATTTTAGAATTTCTCTTGCATGTATAAAATACATATGATAAAAATTATATCTTAAAAACTTAGTTATCAATAAAATAATTTATTGAAATTTAATAGGAAAAATGTAAAGAAAGGTCTCAGAGAAGATCAGAAAGAATGAAGGCATTAGAAGAAAGTGCTGTCAACAAGTTTGGATTAAGAAAAATGGTCAGTAAGGTAGCTTTGTTGTAATAACGTCTTCACTCATCTACACAAGCTAAATAGTTGTAGTGACAAAAACGTCTTTGTTCAAAGCTACAATATAATGTGCAGGTTACATATGTATATTGAAGCTTAAAAATTGCAAAGTCTTTCACTCTTATATTATTGGCTGGATATTTGGTGTGGGGTAAAATGTGTAGCAAAAAATTAAAACACTTATTATATACAAAAGCTTATGACGTTATTGAGAATAGCATAATGATATTTATTTCTTAAATTGTTTCTGTATTTTAAATAAATATTTCAATCAAAAAGGTAAAAAATATGTGAAAAGTTTTCATTTTCACAGACACAAATGGGGACTATGATGGTATTTTGGCAATAAAGTTAGAAAATCTTTCTCTTTTTTATTTTCCATAAGAATATAGTCGTGTAACTTACAAAGAAGCCATGTCCCAGGCAGAAAAATATGAGAATAGTATCTTAATTAGTGTATATCAAACTGACTTGATAGAACCTATTAACTCCTTAAACCTGGCCCAAAATCTTGATTTACCCATCGGTATATTAGGAGAAGCTCTAAATTTGTGAAACACCAATAAATTTACATTGCTGCATTAATTAAGCTATTTTAATTTTTTCTATGAAGTAATTATCTTAGAAATTAGACTTGATCATTAGTAGGTGATGAATAATTTTGATGTGATAACAAGTAAAATATTATTTATATGCATGAAGTAAGTTTAATTTCCTTGTGATATTAGAATACATTAAGCTATCAAAAGAAAAAGGCTAACATAGTTACATGATTTTGAAATGAAGAACACGTTATTTTCTGATACATTATCTCTTCTCCCATAAATAGCTATTCTTGTTCAGTTCTGCCCTCTATATGCAAAAAAACATTTTTTACACAAGCCTTTTATGCCTCGTGCAAATCATCATGCAACAACACTCCAGAAATAAGAGCTACCGAAGTATCACTTCGAGTTTTGGCAGAAGATGGAAGCACCAGTTTTTAGTGAGAAGGAAGGGTGAGAAGTGTGAAAGTGTAAGAGGAGGTAAATACCTATCGGAAATACATTTTCAGGATTTTCATGGGTCTATCAAAAGAAAGCTTCAGGGTATTGGTTTGCAGTGGTTGCTTATCTCAATCCCCAGGACGATAACTGTTCTTGATCCCTCTGTATGGATCTTCTTTTTTGGGCCCACATGCTAGATATTTATATCATTGCATGTCATGTTCCAGGTGCTTTTGATCTTGTCGTTGATTGACTTTCCCATCCAGACAAAATCTATCCAATGGAGTGGTCTCTCAATCCTGTTGCTTTCCAGTGGCTTTGCCTTTAGTGGGAAACTCCTCACTTTGATACTTTTGCTACATCTCTCAACCATAAATTACCTCTGTTTTGGTCCATCCAGCCCCTCCTGTTCTCCATCTGTGGATGTCAAAGGTCTGATTTATTTGCCATCAATGTTTCACGTACTCTTTATCCTTATACACACCTTCTCTTTTATCCGGATCATTCTTTTCTCCCCCAAAACTTCGGCAGCTCATGAGGGTAACTCCTCCTTTTCACTGATTTCTCTTCTATCTAGTTCCTACCTTTATCCTCAACTTGATCTGGATAGACTTCTATGTCCTGTACATGCTCTTCACTGTTATATTGCCTGCATGGCTTCCTTCTGTGGTGCCCATTCCCACCTTTTCCATCCTCACCAATTGGGTTTGGCTTTTAATTAGATTGGCTTATTCCCCTTTATCACATTTCCCCTGTTCTCTGTTCTGGGTGTCTTCTTATAAAAATCGACACTTTACCTTTTCATTGGCGTCTCATTTTCATTATCCCTTGGAGGAAATTTTTCAATTGGGTATGTGGACTACCCCTAATACATTTGTCTCTCACTATTTGCATAGGATCGAGGTTTCTTCCTCTTTGGGCTATCATCTTCCACCTGTAGCCATTCTTCAGACTTCAGTGAGACTTTGACTGGGTAAGTTATTTTTCTTTATTTCTTTTCTGAAGCCTTTTTCCCTTTTTATCATTACTCATTGTTTGGATTCTGCTCTGTGACAAGTGATGTCTGACCAAGTATTCTTTAACCAATCAAATCTGCACCGTAAGGCCATGTCAACTTACATATTATATTTCCATGGCCATGCAATGCACACTGCAGAGATGGGATGTTCCACAAGCTGCTTGTAGGTTTATCCTCGTGATGGAATTGCTTAAAAAATTTGCCTGTCCCGTACCGTACTCACCCAGTTACTACATTGGTAAAGCAGAAGGGGATAGCTGCCCATCCCTGCTATGCCTTGTATTGAATAAATTGGTACAGTCTGCTTTGAGAAATATGATTTTGTGGTCATCCATTGCACTGTCTCAGGTGTTGTTGTATCTTCGACCTCTCTACCATGTTTTCTCCACCTTTTCTTCCAGTGGAGTTTGAGAGTCTTTACCACTTTCCACTTCCAAGCCGCTGGGGTGGTAGACGTGAAGGCATCCTCCTGAATGGGTTAATGAAGTACAAAATACAAACAAAATATAGAAATGATTATTAAACCATTCAGTTGAAAGGGTGGTAGTGTTCTGCTGGCATATAGGATGTGGTATTCTCCAATATGAAACAAATATAAATGGGAATGAGCCTTCAAAATTGCAGTTCACCTCTTTAATTGGGATCCCTCATACTACCCCCATGGCTGGGATTTGGATTTAGAGTTGAACCAATCAACATAAGTCCTCACACGTATTACAGATGTCCATATTCCTCCCTCAATTGTACTCTTGTTACTCCATCCATGTTGTGGGTTACAATGGAAGTACTTGCAGATTACGGTTCTTCCCTTTCCACTATCCCTCGATGCTTATTATTCTGAGGATGTTAATTTGCTTGGGGTAGTTCCAGTTAATTTCAAGTTTGAGGGAGATGGGTTACATTACGCAGACACCTTTTCGATACCAGATGTCGAGTTCCCGGGTTCATGGGTCTGGAGAGGGGTCATTGATTCTCTCCATTCTCATGAACCTGAAGTGAAGACGGTATGATCCTCTTTCCTTTCCTCACATGCATGTCAGTACCCAGTGGTCGGGTTTTGGATTGTAGTTGGCTTACCGATGATATGATCCTCATCCTACCCCCACGTGGATGTCAGTTCCCAGCAGCTTGGGTTTTTAATGTAGTTGACTTGTCATGTACTATCCGTTGCACCCTAGCCACTCTACATCTAGGACACATCCTTTTAATTGTACCCACTTGGATATTTTCTGTGATAGAGTTTCATAAATATTGTATGGTTCAGGTCACTAGCTGACTTTAGTTTTTCTGCCCATATGTATGACATATTTTTATGATAGGTGAAAAGAATACCCAGCTTAGAAGTGGTGCAGTCCCCCACATCAGATCTTAGAATCTGACTGTATCATCTTAGGGAGTGTCCTTTGGATGGTTTCAAAGGATGCTATTTTCTTTCTCTCTCACTTGTCCCTACACCTATTCGATGTGGGATTCTAGCTATTTATGTGAGCAGAGGTAATGTACGCTATCGGAAGTTATAATTTTCCTATCCTGAAAATGTATTTCCGATAGGTATTTACCTCCTCTTACACTTTCACACTTCTCACCATTCCTTCTCACTGAAAACCGGTGCTTCCATCTTCTGCCAAAACTCGAAGTGATACTTCGAGTTGCTCTCATTTCTGGAGGGTTGTCGCATGATGATTTGCATGAGGAATTTGAATAAATCAGTTCCAATTGAGGGGAGATAAAAGGCTTGTGGCATGCATAAACTTTTTTTTTTTGTATATACAGGGCAGCACTGAATGGAGGTAACTACCTATTAGAAATACATTGTCAATATAGGAAAATTATAACTTCCACTATCAACCAATTTAAGATAAGGATCTTTTTGATCTGTATACCAAACAATTATAATAATGTGTATAATAACTGGGGAAAGGAAAACTCTACTGAACAAGATTATTTTGAACCAGAAGGTTTAGCTTTTCTTAGAACTCTAGGTTAAGATTAATCTGTGCTGTTATTTGCAGAAGGCCTCACCACACAAATGCCAGAAATCTAGTTTCATTACTGGAAAGGATGAAAATAAATTTCACATGTATCTATATTTTTTGCATCCCAGAGATTATTTTAAAATTATCAATGACTTATTTACATCCTTATCTGAATAAGGATAATTGTTTCATGAACTATGAAAGGGTTTTAGGTATCATTCTTCATTTTTCTTTGATCTTATGAAGTTATATTATTAATATAGAAGCAGATAAACTCATGATGTCAGAAAAACATGCAGGTTCAAGAAGTATTAATATAAAATGATAAAAACCCCATAACCCGAGCTCTTTTATAAAGTGGACCTTTCTTCTTCAGGGGAACAGGGAATGGTGGAGTAACTGAATGAGTGATATATAAAAGGAGTTGAGTGATGTCATGAAGGTCACCTGGGTTTCCAGGAAGTGTTTTTGTATATTTGTCAATGTATTGTTGTAAATGTGTCTCATTTCTGGTGTAACACAGCCAGAAAAGAAAGAATTATGTAAAAAGATGTTACAGATGATTTGCTTTAGAAATGGTCAAGAAAAACTATACTTGAGTGTTATTAAAGTAAAATAAAGGTGACACATGAAAAGAAGTGTTAAGGAGGTCAATTTCTAATGACATCCATGGAGATCTTTTTCGGTGTTAATAGAAGACTTATGGTTGTTGAAATGTTTTCTAAGAGTCGTTTAGGTGTGTCTTACATACTGATGATTGTATTTATATGTTGTTGAACTGTTTTCTAAGAGTCGTTTAGGTGTGTCCCACATACTGATGATTGTATTTATATGTTGTTGAACTGTTTTCTAAGAGTCGTTTAGGTGTGTCCTACATACTGATGATTGTATTTATATGTTGTTGAACTGTTTTCTAAGAGTCGTTTGGGTGTGCCCTACAATCATCAGTATGTAGGACACACCCAAACGACTCTTAGAAAACAGTTCAACAACATATAAATACAATCATCAGTATGTATTTTTTACACTATGTAAGGTAGATGGTATTATGTGCAACACAAGTATTTCTTTAGAAAGTTTAAAGTTTCTCTGGTTGTGCTTGTCAAAAAAAGAGTCAGTAGCTTTTACGAACTTGCAGATTTGACAACAAGCTTTATTACATGAAAGACAACCATTCACATTTGCATGAATAAGGATATATTTTACTCTTCTGCTTTTCCAGAAGGAAACAACAGGAACTTCAGGAAATATCTGTTGAAGGTGATCATTGAGTTGTAGAAGATGAAAATGTTTTTATTTTTTTTTCAGAATGTGCAAAACATTTCTGAGTTTAAATTGATAAGTTATAACAAAAGAATTTCTATTTGAAACTTTAGTATTACTGTTCTAGGATGTTTTCCCACTGAGTGTTGTTAGTTTTTATCTGTCTGTCAATTTCGCTATCTTTATATCTTCTTTGTAACGTGGTTTGTTTTAGATCTTTACAATAAACTGATTGTAATATTAGCTTTTTCAAACTGCAGGGACCAAATGCTGACCAAAGAGACAGATATAATCAACTCATGGATCAAAGAAAGAAACTTAGTTCTCTGAAGGTTAATGTGAAAAAAGAATTACAGGTTGGTGAGGGTGAAGGGTAAGTACCAATGCCTTTGTTTCTGATTTGTTTACATTTTGTAAAACTGCATGGTTTGTAGAGAATTGGACTTAGCTCTAATTTTGTATTCAAAAACTAAATTATGTGTTAAATTGTAAATAGATATAAAGTTTTTTCTCTCTCTCTCCTAAAATCTAAATGAATAGAAGAGAAGTGAATATTTTAAATTAACTCCTAATATAAATTATTGGAACCTTTTAACCCTTCTACTATTGGTGGGTGGATTCCACCCAGCCCGTATTCTTCAATGTAACCATAAAGCAATTATACTGTAATTTTTTAAAATGTGCACATTTTGCAGATTATCAGTAAACATTACATTTTAAGTAATTTTTGCTTATGCATTTTTTATTTTCAAATGTTGACTATCCAACATGTGAAGTAATTTTGATTTTAAGATTAAAAATACTTTTATGAATCAGAAATTGTCAAATTTCACATGCAAAATCTATATAACCTCCAGATAATAATCAAACGTTTTTTGTTTGGAAAAAAAACTTTATATATATTATCTGTTATTTTCACTATTTTATCTCTGTATGGGCTTGGTTCAATCGATCGACCTCATAACCACCATAAGAAAAATAGGAAATACATAATCAATTTTGCTTTTTTCGTTCTAGAATTACTACAAATTATAACAAACCACAAATGTTTAGCCTAAATAGTTTAAATTCCATAACATTATACATATATAAAAATTTGTTATTTTTATTTTATTGACCTTTCAGCCATGTTTGGCTAACATTTCAGGAACTGAGGTCCATGTGCACTCATGTTACCACATCCAATAATATAAAACTGGTCCTTTCAAAGTTACCTGTTTTGGCTATGTTCTAGTGGACCAGCATATTGTAAAATAACCACATTTCAGTCATAATAAATTATATATGTATATACATTATTACTATTTACAAATATGTTCTTAAATTTCAGTTATTTTTCTCAAACATAGAACAGTAAATAAAGAAATATAAAAAACAATAATTTCTTCTAATTACAAACTTTGTATTCATTTGATGCTTGCCATAACTTGCTAAGCCTTATCAAATTTCACACATGGAGGATGTAAAACAAAGTAATTTTTTTAGGTTTTTATATATGCATTTTGAAAAAAACAAAAAAATCAAATTATTATATCAATACTACAAAAATACAACATAAATTTAAAATTAATTACCCTTTTTTTTTCTAGAATGACAACAGATTTTAACTGGATACTACAATTGTTTATCCTAAATAGCTTAATGCTTGTAACAGTATACATCTGTTTATACTTTATTGTTTTATTGCCATTTGACCCATATCTAACTAATAACACTGCACACAAGTTGTAAATCACTCAGCGAATGTGTAGCTCAAATTACCATATCAATTTAAATAACACACAAGCTGCTCACTACCATACTTGAGAATAATTTTAATGTTTACATTGTAGTTATTTTCAATCATGATAAATAAAGAATGTACATAAGAAAAATATATTACTTACCTGTAGCCTCTTGTTTGGTTTTCGTTGTTGGTTGCTAATTAAATGTAAGTCTTCTTTTGTATATTAATGGTACTAGTGCACTAAATAATTTTGGTTTACTTAAATAATGTACCTAAGAACAGTATAATAACACACACAAAGCAAACATTGTCCAAAAACTATCATAATTTTTCTGGCTTTATAATTTTTGCATAAGAACCTTTAAATGTTACCTTAAGCTTACTGATCTGAAGACTGCAACAGAAAATTTCAAAATGAAGATGAAATAATGTCTATATTATAATGAGTAACTTACATTAAATTCCATACTTCTCTGAGGGGTGGTAAATAAAGTAGAGAAAAGGGAAGACCTGAGAACAAATGTCACAATTCTCATACTGGAGGAAATTGAGAATTTTTTGAATATTTCCTTATAAAATTAATAACTTAAAACTTATGTACTATTAAAATTTGATACATAAACTATATTTTGATGCCAAGTTCATTTGTATAAAATTATAATAAAGTAGTTTAGTTAAATTTTGAATGTAACTTTCTAAAAGGTTGTGACATGTAAACTTTGACCTATCTGTAGTGATAGGGTTAATCTTGTTTCAATCTTTGGAAACATTCTTGTTTCAATCTACCAAAACTGACTTCTCTTACTCATTTCAACTTGCCAAAACTGGCCTCTATCTCTCATTTCAACTTACCAAAGCTGACCTCTCACTTTCATTTCAACTTACCAAAGCTGACCTCTATCTCTCATTTCAACTTAACAAAGCTGTCCTCTCACTTTCATTTCAACTTACCAAAGCAGAACTCTCTCTTTCATGTCGACTTACCAAAGCTATCCTCTTACTTTCATTTCAACTTACTAAAGCTGACCTCTCACTTTCATTTCCACTTAACAAAGCTGATCTCTGAGATTTGTATCAACTTTTCAAAGCTGTCCTCTTACTTTCATTTCAACTTACTAAAGCTGACCTCTCTCTTTCATGTCGACTTACCAAAGCTATCCTCTTACTTTCATTTCAACTTACTAAAGCTGACCTCTCACTTTCATTTCCACTTAACAAAGCTGATCTCTGAGATTTGTATCAACTTTCCAAAGCTGTCCTCTCACTTTCATTTTAACTTCCCAAAGGTGACCTCTCATTTTCATTTCAACCTGTCATTCTTACTTCAACTTGCTAAGATGGACATTCTGCCTGTTTTTTGTTGCAGTGTTGATAATCTATATATTTTGACAGAGGTTTGGTGTTTAATACTAACTAAAGCTATCATTTTAGAAATGAGTTATGTAAATTAAATATGTACACCAGCCTCAACATAACTTGGTAACAGGAGTGTATTCTTAGCATAAGGTTTACTGATTATTATGTGTTGCTTATTATTTTAAAGTTGCAGTTTAGTAGTAATACTTGAGGACTTGGTTTTAAGGCCTATGGGAAAGAGTAAGATTTTGATGCAGAGAGACAAATGTAATTCTTACCTTGGCCATACGTATAATATTAGTAGCTCTTATTATTTTTATAGTATTCCATTTTATTTTTGAAATTATTATGTTGGCTGCATACTTTAGTATAGTAAATTCTAAAATCATTGTAGTGTTAATAAATTTGTACTTTAAGTTAAGCATATGGAGTGGTGCACATAAAACAACCTACAAAAGAAGAGAATCATATATTTTTTCTATAATTTGGAAACATAAAAAACTCTTATTTTGTGTCTTAGTTTCTGGCTTGCTTGATTCATTTATAAACATTTTGGTGTGTCAGTGTAAATAGTATAACTACCTTGTATAAACTGTTACTGTTACAAGCTGTTAGTCTGATAGCATAAAATAGTTTTCTTCCACATAATACTAGTTACACTTCTAAATGTTTACATGATTCATGTCTGTGAAAATGAAGTCAGTTACTAATTGAACAAGTAAGAGAGTTAATAAAATTTTTCTTTTTTTGTAAACTTCATTTTTCAGATCTATGGAAATTATAGAAACTATAGTTCCTTCCTTGTACAAATTAAGCACTTTATGCTTGTGTTTTCTATTTTCATGGAGTAGAAACTGTTGTTTTTAATATAAATACTAACTTTTATCAATCTAAATAACAAATAGGCTTGCATTTCATCTTTCTGCTTTTATACAACCAACAAAAGGAAACGTACTGTCGGTCATGAAAGAAAGGTATCGGCAAGAAATGTTTATAACATTGTGTAGGTAACAGTTGCTACCTAGTTTAATGGAAAAAATATCAGTTCTTTTTCTCACTATAGAGGAATTGAAGAAAAGTCATGTGAACCTAACTTGAGTGGACTTACACCGGTGTTTGATTTAGAAATGTTTAGAGAAGCCCAAGCCAAAGCTTGTGAAGAAGTGGTAAGAATCGTATTTAAAGTGAAGGCACGTCATTTATTTATTTAAACACTAAAATAAGTAGATTTATGTTGTACAACAGTTTTATAAAAATAATGTTAGCTGGTATGAGTTATGTATGTTTTATTCAAATAATATTCACTATTTTAAAGGGCATGTGAATTTTTTGTAAATTCTTAAAAGTATTTTATTAAAATGGGAGGAAATGAGAAGTTAGAATGCTGTTTAAAAACAATAAGTTGAGTGAGTATACAGTTTAAAAACAATAAGTTCAGTGAGTATACAGTTTAAAACCTGTTTAAAAACAACAAGTTGAGTGAGTGTACAGTTTAAAAACCTGTTTAAAAACAATAAGTTGTGTGAGTGTACAGTTTAAAACCTGTTTAAAAACAACAAGTTGAGTGAGTGTACAGTTTAAAAACCTGTTTAAAAACAATAAGTTGTGTGAGTGTACAGTTTAAAAACAACAAGTTGAATGAGTGTACAGTTTAAAAACATGTTTAAAAACAATAAGTTGTGTGAGTGTACAGTTTAAAAACCTGTTTAAAAAACAATAAGTTGTGTGAGTGTACAGTTTAAAAACCTGTTTAAAAAACAATAAGTTGT